TGAGTGTTTTTTTTTTTAAGTTATGGAGAAAGAAAGGAGATGGTGAGAGAAATGGCATGGGATGAATGCATGTTTGATTGACTGATTGGCCATCCAGAAAGCAGTTCATAATAGAGCCCTGATGCAAGTAGGTACTTGCCCTGAATTATGCAATGGAAATAAAAAAATAAATAAAAAAATAATGATCCAAACCTCCATCAAGGCCCTAACATTTGCTAGCCTGGCATTGCTCGCACTTGGACGAAAAAGCCCGTACCCACGCATCCCGGAATACATAGAGATCACACCTGTGATACAGAAATTTTTGAAACCGCCTCGTACTAGTTTTGTAAGTTTCTTCTGGGGGAGCGGGTGTGGGACTGCCACAGCCAGTATGTACCATATTAATTTTAGAAGTCGTGGGTGGGTTGGTATAGTGCCCTTGGCGCACTCACACAATCGGTTGAAGTAATCTCAGATTGATGTCTATTGAGTATGCCTCTATGCTCTCATCTGATATGTTATGCTTACAGTTAGATCTTGTAGATTTCTTGTTCGGGGGCATACAGTGTCAGTACTCGAATGGCACCATCCTTTACCATTTTGTAAATGACAGCGCATCACGGTCACAGCTGCAAGATTCAATACCGGAAAACGGAATCTCTATCTCGCGCTAGGAGATTTGGCCCATGGGAATATGTGCGGCCGAGAGTTCTGGCAATTCTGCTTCCTTGTAACAAGCAGATGTAGGTCGCGGACTTGACGAAGCTTTGGCGGCACGTGAAGAGGGTGGGATGCGGGAGGGCGCGAGAGAGGGGAGGGAAGAAAAGTTGGATGAGCCTGTGTAAGCTCTCACTCTTTACTTCGCCATTGGGTCTTAGAGTATGGTGTTGTATTGTGTCGTATTGAACACTATGTCAACATACCATTCGGGACCCCTATTAGGCGAGTGACGGCTTGTGACTCTGATCGATGACGGCTGAGGGGAGATCGAATACCCGGCATGTCGAGGCTCTACCAATCGATCCGTCTCCACACCTCTTATGTACATGCCTTTTTGAACACAATTCTTTATATTGGGGATTCCACACCAAAAGGCGCAACGTGAAATTGCTTGCACTGGGATAATATAGTGTTTCGTATCAAATCAAACCGTATGTTCACCAAAATTCTCGCGGGAGCATAAAGTTGTACTCACGCTCAGTGTTCCCAGCCGTCCGGGGCCCGGGGGCCCCGCGGGGGGACTGCCAAGACCCCTGGACGGGACGGGACGGGACGGCTATCTGTAGTCCGTCCGGGGCGGCCTAAGGACAGGACGGCCGTCTTTTGGCAGGACGGCGGGCCTTACAAGGTGAGACATGTTAGTTCAGGGCAGGGGGGGTGGATGGCAGGGGACTTCAGGGGACGGCAAGGGACGGTGGGGGACGGTGGGGGACGGTAGGAGACTGTTGAAAAATGATTGATATGGAGGTAATGATCAGTAGTGAGGGTTTACGCAGCGGAGTAGAATCACGCAAGTGGAGATGGAAGGTTTTTCTCAGGTGAAGAGAAAGACCATGATTGATTGCTTAGAGATGACTGAGATGAAGAACTTGAGGAGCGAGGTAAAGTACAGGAAGTTGTTCACTCGCAAGAGAGGACAGAAGGGAAGAAAAGACGAAGATGAGAAAAGTTTGCATGGCTTACGTGTCTTCAAGGGGTACAGAAATATGCTACTGATGCCTTCATGTATGAGCACATCCCGCACCAAGTGCGGCCGTCGGCTGCTATTTCCAACAGGGACGGCCGGGGACCACACGAGTGATGTCTCATGGTGTGAAAATGATTCGTGTCAAGGTGTATAATTTTAACTTGGCTAGTACCAGAGGTCCAACCGCCAGGGCTATAGTCCCCTATAGTCCGTCCGGTCCTCATCCTCCCGGGCATAGTCCGTCCTAGCACCCACAAAAGGACGGACTATGAGCTGTAGTCCGTCCCGTCCTCCCCCGAAGACGGACGGACTGGACGGTTGGGAACACTGATGTCAGTAAGGACCACAGAGAAGCTCCATAAACATGTCCGCCGCCGCCACTGCCCGCCCCCTCTCATCTCCGATCAATCTTTTCCATCCATTGAAACACCACCTTCTGGTAATTCCCCTCTCCTTTTGGTCGGATAAGGCTGCCGCAGAAACTTCACTTGGGTATCTTCTTTTGGTTGAAGGAAGTCGTGTGCGATGGGAATCCGACTATCTGTAGTGTACCCGCCCAAATCTCTATAAGGGTTTCCATATATTGTTAAGTCAGGAGTTGTCAGCTTCTGTTTGAAATCCAGAATTTGGGGTTGGTGAGGCACTGTCTGTTGTGCTAGGTTGAGCAGGTTTTGCTGTGGAATTCCAGTTTTTTTTTTGTTGTAAATCCCATTTAAACATTAGAACATTTATTTTTTCCTACCACCAATATTCCACTTCCCCCCTTTTCTTGGCTCTGGGATTGGGAGGCAGGAATTGTAGTTTGGGAGGGTAATATGGAGTGTGGATATTTCTAGCACTGTGAGGGGTGTGGTAAGTTAGTTGTTGGCTAAGGTATGGTCGTGATTGGATTCCAATCTGGATATGTTTTAATGAAGCTCCTACTGATATGACTCTGACCTCCGGGTGTGATTTTGGAGGTGAGGTTCGGAGGCTGTTCACCCCTTTTATTCCTGCTCGTAGGGTGGGGGTTGGTGTAGTGAGGAGCCCTCTAACGGTGAAAGTAGACTCCATTCAACTAGTGTTGTATAAACCTGAGGGGCTAGCCCGGGCTCTCCTGCATTCGGTACTATTTTTGAGAGCAGGACTCACAGTATGCCGGCATACCGCCTCTGGTGCGCTCAGGTGGATCCCGTAAACGTGCTGCTTGGGTTGCTTTCCTGGCTAGGATCAGGACTTGCCTCAATAACTACTGCTTCTTTTACTCGCTGCTGTATGGCTCGAATGCTCCATATCCTGACCGGCATTCTTATATTCCCTATGTGCATATCTGGATTTTCGGATATATGAGGTCTCCTGTCTCAACTTGTCAAAAGTGATTGGGATTCCCATAGCGCTGTGCAGTGGTGGCTTACTGGGAGGCAGGGAGGGATCGCTAGTCCTGCGCTACTCTCCTTTGGCCCCTGGTGGTTATTTTCTTTTCCTCCTCGGGGCACTCTATAAGGTGCTGATGTCGGGTGTCATGAACCCATAAAATCTTCCCCCCAGGGGAGGTCTCCGTTGTAGTGTCTGGAGTGTCTAGGGGAATCAGTGTTCGGATAGCTTCGTCTATTTTCGCATCGCAAACAACTGATACTGTATTGTAAACTATAGCTGCAAGGTATAGTACCAGGAGGCAGGTTCTTGCACAATGGAGTCTAGTGCCCGGTGGTGGTATGCTTCGTCTTAGGAGCTCATGTCGTGGGTGCCGCTAGAGAATTATGATTTCTTGTGATGGGCTGGTTTTCGGTGGGGGCCCTTTAGAGATTAGAGGGTGGTTGTGTTGAATGTTTGAGATATGTGGTATCCATTAGCGGCCTTATTCGCAATGCATTAGTCGAGACAATCCCGATACACTTACTGGAAGCCTGATACATTGGATATAGATGGTGGAACATGGCTGTTACTGAGATGTATTGGATATGTTAGAGTTGGCTGCTAGTTGAGCGCACGAGACACTGGAGGATTTCATATGTCATTAGTTAGTTTCTCTTGTGTTTCTTCCTGTTTTACTTTTCGCCGATGCTCTCCATAAAAGTTTCTTGTTTTCCCTTTGGTTACCGATCATCATCGCAAATTCCTATTCTCATACTATTGAATACTTTGATCAATTCATTCGTTCTTTGTTACGCTTTATCCTTTTCAATCTACATAGGTAGAAACTCAATCGCTACTCTATTCTTCTTGGTCAACCGCTGCTGCCCACCACCGTGAGTATATCGAAGGTCAATCACGGTCGAACCTTAAATACTTCACAGGTTGGACAAAAGACTTCAAGACCATTCTCTAAAACCTTGGTAGCGTGGGAGGAGGGTCATGCGTAGGGGAGCAATAGAGGAGAAGCAAAATTGTATCCAGTGATCCCAAGCGGCCAGTCCGCCCGGTTTTGGGTACGGCCGGACTGACCCAGGCTTTTTCACGGATGGCCGGGCCGGACTGTGGAAAAGCGGCTTTTTAAAGCAGAAGCCTGGCCTGGCCTGGGCATCTGGCGGCTTTACCTGGGCATCTGGCGGCTTTTCCTGGGCATCTGGCAGCTCTAACCTAGGTTGCGCCAAGACTTGACCCGGCGGTTGCGTGGGCACCGCTAGGCTTTGGTAGCCGCCGAGAATTTCGACCGGACTGGCCCAGGCTTTTCAAAACCAAGGCCGGACTGACTGGACTGCCGACCTGTAGTCCGGACTATGGTCCGGACTGGCCGCTTGGGATTACTGATTGTATCCAAGATATTCTTATCTGTGATTCCGGGTATTAATTGTGTATTCAAAGACATGAATTAGGCTTTTGTCTGCCTTCCTGTGTAATCCCGCTTACATCGCCATTGATATCTAAAGCTTTTTTGTGCTGGTGTATCTCATGGCGTGTGGTGGGTTTGTAGTATGGTGGCATACTGTACGGTGCCATGTCAAAACGTTCACTATGTATGCCTACAGTTGGAACTCTAGGCTACATCGAGTGACAGCCGGTGAGTAAGGGAGACAGAATTGGTATGCATGTTTGTTTGGTGAAATTGTTTTGGCAATGTTTTTCATGGATTGCCTTGGGTTTGAATTGGGGCTCGATTGGGTACTGGTGCAGCGCCATGTACTATCTCTTTCTCTTTAACATGTTTCGTGTTTTGACATTGGGAATCATAGTAATGCCGTTTGTGGACCACCGATAGGTATCAGCCCTCCTAGTTGCCTTTTTTTTTTTTTTTAATATGGGTTTTTTTTTGAGGAGCCCTATTTCCTTAACTGTGCCCAAAACCAAAACAGCGCGCGTTATCTGCCTTCCTCCTTCCTCCACCCACCCACTCCTTCTCCTTCTCTCCCCTACTCCCTTAACGTCCTACCTTCACATCCTCCTTTATCAAACCAACTCGCCCCGACCCTCGTCTAAAAAAAAAACAACCCTATTACAAGCACAACTAACGCATCACTCCGGCCATTTTCAAAATGTGTTTTGGCAGAGTATTCGATGATGATATGGCCACCCTTGAACAGGAAGGAAACGATGCGCTCGGCGAGATTGTTGAGATGGTCTGTTCAATCCCGGGCCGCGAAGAAATTGTCCCCCTCGTCACTCATACGCAGAGAGCCGGGATACGGTATCTGACTATCGATTGCGGCAAGTTGAGCATGGTATGGAAGGTGGAGATGGTGGAAAACAGTTACTTTAAGAGAATCTGTCTCTACAAGAGAATCTGCAGACCTATAAGTAAGCTTGTAAATATTCCATTTCCAGCAGCGAGCAGTAACTGACTCAAGAACATGACAACAGGGGAAGGCGCTAGGAGTTCAAAGAATTTCCTTATGCCGGTCAAGATTTGGGAAGGGACTATGTGCCACCAGATCATCAGGCTTCATAGACTTGGAGAACTCAGAGATGTCTGGTGGAACTATTCCATTCTTCCGAGCCGTGCGTACAGGGATGCTCTGTAGGTTTCTTTAATTATTCTTATCCTTTGCTCTTTTCTTTAAATGTTTCTAATTGTGAATGGAACAAAAAAGCAACAAGAGCTACCGGGAATCTATGACCGACAAAGGAAACGAATCTGCGGAGGGGTCTCCCCAAAATCGCGATTCTACGTCGGGTGTTCCCTCCTTTGCCCCTCGCCGAGAATCATCTCTCGGGCTGAGACTTAAGAAAACGAGGGTTACGGCTAGAGTGAGGCCTATGATGCGAACCATGACCAAAATCATGTTTGCTAGAACCCTGACTGAGATGGCATCCAAGGGGAGGTTGAAGGTCATGAGGGAGATAAGGGTGAGAACGGTGGGGATGCTGAGAAAGAGGGCTTTGAGGATCGCGGCCATGTTGAGAAATATGGAGCTCTAAGGGAGGAGAAAAATTTCTAAAATCTAGACCATGACGTTTCCCAGTGGTGGCCCTCTAAAGATCGGGGTGGGTGTTAACAATTCTTCGACTGGATATATTTGCGGTCTGCTAACACGATCTTCTTTTCTAGTATCTCCGCTTGTTGCTTGAGTGTTCTGGGTGGTTTTCTCTGGCTGCTGGCTCTTTGTGTTTGTCATTACCATCTTAGCTTTCTTTCATTTTTTGAGATCTCTCATCATTCGGTTTCTTCCTCTTCCTGTATTTTCGTGGGTCAAAGTTCCCTCACTTCTGTTCTAATACAAGGCATTGAGATCTCAATATAGCTGTAGAATTTTCGGGTGTGAAAACGAATGGTCTCTGTGCTGTATTTCCTGAGTGTGTTATTGGGAATCGATGGGTCCGCCGATCACTTTTTTATGATTTCTAACAGCTTGGCTTCGTATCAGCGCTTGCTATTATTCTTTAAATTATCTGGATTCGAGAAAGTATTTTGAGGAGGTAAACCGGTTTGGCTTTAAAGCTATTTGGTGTCTGGGGTATCCTGGTATTCGGGTATTATAAATGCACACCTGTCACAGTTAAAAGACGGACTTTTTTCTCATTCTATTCTACCGAGTTTAAGTGTTGTTTTATGCTTGTTTTATGGCAACCTCTTATTGGACTAATTCCCTTCAACCAGGCCTAGCATAACCCAATGTTAGCAATTCTTTCCACCATCTTTGTTTGCACTCTCTCGCTATGAATAATTCAAACAATAACTTGTATGTCTCACTTACACTGGGAAAATATGGGAGGCGTACAGTATGCCTTCTCGCCGCAGAACAGAAACGAGCAGTATGATAAGAAACTTACCCAGTGCTAGCAGTCAGCTCTACTGAAGTGGCAAGCCAAAAGGGGTTTCTATGCTGAGCCCGAAAAGAAATGAGCTCTGTGACTACCTGTTAGGTAGTTGGTTATGACAACGAACACTGACAAGATATCAGATACATAGCATACGGGGAGGGAGATAATGCACCCGGACCGGCAACGCAGAATTTGGAGTAGGCATGGATTATCGGGAGAGATTCGGGGAGGGCGGAGTAATTTGTAGTGCGCAGCGATATTTGGATGAGGAGGGATTCGTAAAGAGGGAATTGAGCGTTTATCTTGTTGGAAAGCGGGGATCAGAGAAGGCATTGAGAATGTGGTTGAAGTTTCGGTAGCAACTCCCAAGAGCCTCGCTGCCACTGAGGGAGGAATTCGTCTGCATAAGTACCAAGAGAAACACAATGTCCTTAGAATTTAGGTAGAATGTGCGACAAGTAACTTATACTACTTCGCACTTATCGAGTATCTCTTAGACATGGGCTGAATTCACCATATTCATTGGATAGTTCAGATCCTCATACCTTCTCACTCATTCGCCTTTTGCCGGTTTTCGGGTGGCGTGTATGATATCAATAAAAAAAAGATTCCCATAATTTTTGAGTTGGTATATTTCGCGAGGCCCAAAACGGAGCAAAAATTAGCACCGGAATTAAGTACCAGGTGCTCCTACGCTTGTTGTGTGGCCGGCAGATTGTGCGGTAAGGACGGTAGTGCCGCAGAGACACTTAAGATTCGGGCCATGGCATTGCGGCGTCACGATTTTCCTCACACTGGAATCAATAGGCCACGGAATTTGCACAGGAGCATCTGCTACTGAACTTTATGCCTGCGTGGTGGATTATTTTGAGTATTGGGGGTGTGCCGTTTTCTATGATAAAAATTTTCGATATCTCGGATATGCTGGAAAGGTCCTAGTGTTTAACCCTAGTACAGACCAGTTCCTTTCTGTAGAATGCTTCTTTCACTATCACTGATATTTCTTCTTCCGACAGACAACACTCGATTTTTCATCGCCTTCTACCCGCCCGTCTCTCGGCTTTATGCGCATACCTTGGTGAACTGCGGCATGCCTTTTTTCGTCCCTTGTTATGCTTAAATTTTTTTTTCCATCTTCTATCTGTTTTTTTTTTGTCCCATTACGACCTCGCTTTCTCTTGATTTTTCTCTTCCATTGTTTCCCCGCCTCTTCTGGATTGAGAATATAACCCCGCTCCTAAGCATTCAGTATACTAGCAAGCTTCTTTACTCTTTCTCCTGCTGCACTGACCTGCATTTTTGCTTTCCTGGATGACTCTAGTAGAAATGGGTTTACTAATTGGATATTCTGGTTTGCAGAGTAGAATATATGGAGACTGGGGTGGAGCGGATTTTAACACGGGGGTACTCAAACTCACTCCTGATTTACCAGATGCTGTTGGCCGGGCTAGTGCAAAAAACGCTTCGGATCGCAATGGAGATACCGCTCCCACATCTTGGGAATACTTGCACTTCGTCTTATTTTTTCCATCTGGGCTACCTTCGCCTTTACACGTCTTAGAGGGGTGGAGGGGAGAGAATTGGTATTGTGGGGGGAAAATAACAATGCGCGAGCCGTAATGTGTCTAGGGGATCAACTGCTAGGTTTTGACTGAAGAAGTAAGTATAATGGAAATTCTAAGTCCCTCCTGCCTATCTCAATCTGGTGTGAGTGGCCACTCACCATCACTAAACTCCGGATTGTTGATGGAGACTGACAGATTCCGACTCGACTAGGCCGGGAGATCCGTACGGAGGTTTGGACGGGTAAGCTCTAGATGTGTGTGAGGATGTTGGCCCAGAGACCTCGGCCACGAAAGACGTTCTTATGGAGCTATTGCCATCCTTACGGTTGTAGTAGAGATACCATTCTCGCATCACTACCCTCAGTGGCCTAATAAATAGTAAAGTGGTATTAGGGGATTGTCATCTTGTGATTCAGGGTTGGCATCGCTTCATCAGGGTGGGCATTCACCCCTCCATGGTTAGTGAAAGCTGCGTGAGGGTGTGGTGGTTGGAAGGACCCAGATGGTGTGTCGGGCTCGGCGTTGTTTCGTTCGACTAATATTTTGGCTACACCTCGTGTCCAGTCCAACAAAGCAGCCCACACAGGAGGTGTATTGCTCGTGCTGTCTTATTGGTTGGTATCGCAACGTTCCGCTTCGGCCACACCATTTGCAAGATCAAGAATATTCTCGGCGGTCCGGGGCCCCCGTAGGGCCGGACTGGACGGGATGGCAAAATGGGTTCTGCCCTCATCCGAGAAATCTCAGGCCGGCGGTCGGTGTGGGGGACGTTGGGCCCGGCAAGGTAAGACAAATTAGTGTTGGGAATTGCTAGGGATCGCCGGGGACTATACGGGACTGTAGGGAACTGCGGGGGACAGTCCCGGGCCCAGCGTGGAACATTTCCGGCAGGGGGCGGCGCGGCCATAACCCTTTTCACCGGGCTGCGGGGCGGGTTTGGGCGCGGACCGGACGGGACTACCTAATCACCTCCACTACTGTCCACCTTCAGGACGCACGGATTGCCCCATTGAGAACACTGCAACAATCCTGAGAACAGATGAGCAGTGTGGGCCATCGGATAGGAAAGAATTTTCGTACTCGACGTTGATACGCGGTTTTGTGTCTCCAAGAGAATTTTAGTGGATAGATGGTGATGGTAGCTGTCGAATAATTTTGCAAAAAGTACTTTGGGGTTGTCGGAAGCATCCCTTTTTGCGTGAATTTCCCAAGCTAGGGAAGGATTTTTGGCACTGGGCGTGCCTTGAGGATCGAGAGAGGGACCGGCCGAAAGAGTCTTGACCTGTGGGGAGTTCAAACAGCTTGGGCAGTTTTCTGTTGTTGTTGGGTGGGCTGTGCGGAGGAGCTCGGCATGGGCTGGGAGGTACGCTTGAAGGGTAAAGGGGATCAGCGGGTGAGTGGAATTCAATTTGGTTACCGCACCGAGTCCTTCACGATGGGCTTGCGATGCCTAAATTGAAGGAATATTGTCGGGGTTGAGATTCTGTGATAGTTTCAACTCTAGGGGATGTTCAGGGCAGCTCATCAGGGTTTAAGGGCCACTCTGGGTTAGGAATACATATCAAATCCAACAACATACCAGGCCTCAGTTTCTCTTACTGTGTCTCTTTACCGGATCCAGTGCTTCACTAGAAGTATCCCCTAATATTGAGCCATCGGTCATTGCGCTAAGCTTTTTATTGCCGCAATTGTGTCGTCACCTAGGCTGCTTTGAGAATATGTGATGATACCTCATATTCTCGCGGTTATGGGCATAGTTGTTACCGTTCAGGGGAGACGTCTTCCGATCTCAGGTCAAATTTGGGGTCCTCTAATCATGGATAGTTGTGCGCTTGAGGAGACCTTGCGAGGATTTGATTTAACTGAGGAAGCGAGACTCAATCTTCTATTACATACCAGACTGGGGAATCGAAGCATATGAGACAGTGTTTGTTTTTTTGGGGGGGGGGTTTGCAGAATCTTTATAGTACCAAAAAGTCGCGGCCCATGCCCAAAAATAACGGTTTTCCGGTCTGCATAGGCCCTGGAATCTCCTTTAGCCTGCCAGAAACCTGCTTGAGCGGGGCTCCTAGCATACTCGTCGGTAACTGCTCCTTTTAAGGGGCGAGATCAAAGTAAAAACACACAAAGGGGACATCTCGTCCCCTCCCCCGATCACACGGTCGGTCAATTTCTAATGAGCTAAGATTGCGCCTTGTCGGTGCTTGCGCTTCTCCTTCTAATTGTAGAGGCTCGCGCTTGTCACCTAAGGGAATATCAGCCTTGAACACACCCTGGAAGTCCGTAGGAAAAAATCAGCATTATCAGTTTCACCTTCCCCACTACCTGCACACCAGCTTCTGGATCCCTCGGTTTGTAAAGGGCATTCCTTTATGGGTACATGTTTGACTTGGCTGCCTTACGTTCCCTAGTGTCGTGACCTGGTGTGTGGTGGTGATGGCCAGGTCCGCTTTTGAGATCGACCATCGGCAGGGGTGCTGTTCCTCACGCCAACGGCCGCATTCAAATAATTGATATTATTGCTAAATGGTTGAATTTTTTTTTGTTGCCCTTTCGGACATTGCGGGTGGCGGGTAATGAAGTTGGTCGAAGACTGGAATTCTGCGCGGATGGAGAAAAGAGATTTTTTTTTTTTGAGGAGCCTCATGGATAGCTTAGAACCTTCCAACCAGTCTCCCACAAAAGTTCTGCTAGAAACGCTTTACTTGCGCCTACTGCACTAGTGGCATGCGGTGCCACGTTTATCTCTCCGCTATCTTGTTGAACAGAGCAAGTCTTGCGCTGGGATGAACAAACACCTCAAGGTGCCTCCCGTAGAATTAGACAAACTTGGTGTGCGTTCGGGTGCTTTGAGCAATATGAGCGAACCAACAAAGAAACCTATGTATCACCTGACGTCAAGCATCGC